TAAAAATTTCAATGAAGAAGACGACATCCTCCAGTGAACATGAGTCATGATCCTCTCTATATCTTCCGCGTTCCGTCTTCTACATATCATGCCTAACAATGTTTCTTTTGATATCCATTCGTTTTGGCCAGCTAATCAACGGGAACACAGACCAATAGTCACACCGCAGGAGCGGCTGGCAATTGAGAATTTTGCATATTGCCACTGTTAAAAGTTGGCTTTGCTCGAATGCCATCTCTAAGATGGGATTCGTTCCAACGCCACTGTCAAGATGTGGGTGTTCGCTAGAGTGCCATTTTTCCCGTTTATTACAATTGCAAAACATTTTTCATCAAAATATTTTTTTCTCGGACCATTTTGCCCCTGGACCAAATCAACATACCAGTTCGTTTCTCCTCGTCTGGAACACGTGTGAAGCTGAGAGCGAAGAGGACAGATGGCGACGACGCCGGCGCCGGCGACCGGCAGACGTGCCGCCGCCTCCATGAGCTAGCGCACAGCCTTCTTCCCCAAACCCACCGCGCCGCCGCCTTCCCCCACGTCGGCCGCAGCTCCTTCTTCCCCACCTCGGCGGCGCAGCTCCTCCCACCGCACCGCCTCCTCCTTCCCCAAACTCGCCGGCGCTGTCCTCCGCCTCCAACCTACTCGCTCCAAATCCTGTTCGTCGTTGCGGCGCTCGTCCATCCATCCGGGCGGCTTCAGATTGATTTGTCTTCTTTTGCTTCGGTTTGGTTTGCTACTAATCTTTCCCTCTCCATGTTAAAAGATAAACCAACTTAAAACATGTTCCATTGGCTGTAGATGTAATCAATCATGTAATTCACAATTCAATCTTTATCTAAGAAACAAGCAAATAATATAGATCGAACTTAATTGGGATTGTATGGATTGCTCATGATTTAGATCAGGCGAATTAAAGATTACATGTGTTTATATCATAGCCAATGATATAGCGTTTAGGTTAAGAAGGATAACATATTGGCTATTGCTCCGATACAATCTTATATAAGAATATCATTCTAAGTAAATATACCAAACAAGCATCAATCCCAAATATGATGATCTAGCCAAGATTGAATACAAGCTTGATATATTTAAATACAATAATATATTAATGTAAGGGACGAATATAACATGAGAAGCAGGATTAAAGATATTAAACAAAGCAATATAGTTATATCAGGTAAGATCGGCTGAAACCCCGATTCTACCCCTATTGGCAATTAAGAAGCAGGTTAGTTTTTATGATTCTAAACACGACTTAGTAGGTCAAACTCAATTGACGTAGCACTAAGTATGGAAAGAAGCATAAAATCTGAACAATCAAGCTTTTGACTGATTTTCGGGATGGCGGATACCTTAGCTAATCTAAACTAGCAAAATGATTTAGCCGATACCGGCAAAACCCTAGAAAAGGCTTGGCTGATGCAAGTAAATCGAGCCATCAAGTTAGATTAATGAAGATATATGATAATCAACAGCTACGAAAGATAGATTAAGACATCTAAAATGACATACTAATCCGCTGATGCAAACTGCTGCGACAAGTCGTACCTCTCATCGGAAGATCGAAGCCGATGCCCCAACTCGAAACAAGAACTCATTGTGAAAATCGTAAACTAAAAGATTGGCGATGCGCCAAGAGTGCATTGAACTGCAGTTGTTTTTCTTTCAAGACCCTAGGCATATATTTATACCCGTAGTACAAAACTTGTCCATATTGGATATAACTCAAACTTTACAAAATAAACACGTCAGCCCATTGTGGACTCTAACATAGATTTCTAAAATATAAAAATGAAAACCGGCTCTTATCCTAAATAACAGATACAATTGCCTCCTTTGGACTCTATCCTTGTATGGCAATAACTCTGAATTCTTAATCCAAGCTCGACATGAACTCGAAATCATCTGTAGCAGCTGACCGAATCCAAATCTGTATCAGCTGATATAGACTCCACCTGATGCAGTGTTTCGTTTTGGAAACCAAATTAACTCCTTCAAATCCGCTTCGGACCCATCCTTATCTCCACGTATCATAACAAATTTTGCTGTTAACATCACCGAGTCTATTCATTTTTTAAAGGAAAATTGTAATTAATCTGGACAGTTTGATTGAATAAAGTGCTAAATTTCCATTAAAAACCATACCAATTACTACTATGTTTTGATTTGAAAATAGCATGTGGGATTGCATCAATTCTCGCCCTTTATATGTTGTACAAATAGTTACAAAAAGAATGTAGATTATGCCATCGTATATTACCTCAGATATATGTATGGTTGAGTTATAAGTTATAAGTGATCAACGTTGGAATAGTAATAGTCAATGCTAACAAATACTTTAAAATGGGGGAGCACAAATAAATTTGAAAAATGATTATTACATCTTATATTACCCTACAGACATGCCTAGTAATATTACATCTATTTTTTTACATTAGCTATATTACATCCATAATAAAGGGATGAAATATCAAAACACAAACTGACTTGTTTGTTGGTGAGGGATTGTTGCTCAAGCAAATATATTTTCATATAATTCCTACCACCAAGATATTTTACAAAATGTTGGACAATGGATTTGAATAAATTGCTAGCTTTCTTAAAAAAAAAAACCATGTTAACGTTTTGATTGAAAAGAGGCACACGTGACTATGTTCTAGCCCTTAATTTACATGTTATCCAAATATTAAAAAAGTTAAAAACAAACTTAACATAAATCATACCATCATAAATTAGCAAAAACATGCACCATTAAACTTGATCTATCACAAGAATATTTCATTGTTGGGACAATAACCCTGAAAAGAGAGAGTTCCTATCTTTTCTTTTTAACTCAGGAGAAATACGATGGGGTTTAGTTCACTTTTACTTTAGTTAAGCCATTTAGTATGTGCAGTTGAACACACGTTTCCTATGCCACTACGTGACACTCATACTGTCATGGTTACGGATAAGGTATACCTCCAATTCCACTCCTTATGGAAAATACGGATATGGTATACCTTCATGTATATGCTATGTTTCCATATGCGATAAGGGAATGTAGATATTATGAAAAATATCCTCACAAGCAAGTGGTTGTCAGATTTCTACTCGGAGAGGATTGAGTTTATTCTATATCGTGCAGGGTTCATTGTCTCCGAGTTCTACTTGGAGACTAAGGCTGCGTTCGTTTGTGTCATATAGGGTGAGAAAGCACCTCGTTTTCCGCGCGCACGCTTCCCAAACTATTAAACGGTGCGTTTTTTGTAAAAATTTTCTATAGGAAAGTTGCTTTAAAAAGTCATATTAATCCATTTTTAAAATTTAAAATAGTTAATACTCAATTAATCATGCGCTAATGTCTTACCTCGTTTTGCGTATCTTCCCAATCTCCCCAATCTCCTTCTCCTCAAATACACCCTAAGGCAACTCATGGTATAAAAGGCATACCCCTGAGGGGTTCAGATCATCGAATCTTAGCGCCAACACAGCCATGATAGTTTACGAAGCCAGAGGATGCGAAGCCTACTCGCCAGGAGATCTCGTCGAATCATCTCGACAAGGATCTCGTCGGTAACGCCTGATTTATTTGTTCTATGTGTACTATGTGGTTTTACATATTAATCTCATATAAACTGGATTAGGGCTATTACCTTACAAGGGGCCTGAACCAGTATAATTTTTGTCTCCTTGTTTATTTTGATGTCATATCATGTAGATCCTCATACCAACGTACCCCAATATCCTATTTATCCGGTCTACGAGTATCCCCTGTCAATACATACAAATGCTTCTAAGTTGTCAAATGATGAAAATGATTTTGTTATTGTATTAATGATGTATTATGCTTATTTTTGTTATACTTATGTAGTTTCATATATAAAAAGGGACTTAGCTTTGAAGACAATGATAATAAATAATCGTGATTGATCAATGTAGATGTAATTGGAATAAAGTGATTTTCTTTTAATATGAGAGACATTCCATATATCAAAATCTATAATCTATTTCGCAAAATATTTTTTTCAATGTTTCTTGATTATAATGTAATGTATCATACTTATAATGAATAAGATAAGATAAGGTAGGATTTCTTTTAGCATTCTTTTTACGATCAATAAATGACGTGCCCACGTATCTGCGCGGGCTTTCTTTCTAGTTAAAATAATTAAAAAATGACACTTCTTCCATTCTAAAATAAGCCAATATATAATTGGATGGGTTATATCGCATCCAATCTTTTGGTAAGGAGTATCCGAGTTACTCAGTTAACCACTTAACCCCGTCTCTGTGGAGAAAATTGTGATTTTGCTATCACAAAAGGATGGTTTCGCTGGAATACTCTCCCTTCAAAGTGATTCATTAAAATGCTATCCTAAACTAAGGGGTATTCGCTAAAATGCTATTTTGAGTCTCTTTTGTCACTAAAATACTAACCGCCGTCACAGCCACTGTGCTTGTTGTCAGCGTTCTTCGCGCCACCCTTGTTGTCTTCGTGCGGCTTAGGCGCCACCTTCGCGTCGCTGGCATTAGTGCCTCTCTCTTGGCGGCGCGCGGCGAGGCATGCGGCGAGGTGGGTTCTTGTGGTGGCGCTTTGACCCGCCGCTGCCGCCGGTGCTGTTGTAGAAGTCGGAGGTGGAGTCGAAGGAGATGCCGAGGGAGGAGAAGAGCATCGACGACCTCGTCTCCGCCCCTCGCCGCCCTCCCTGCCGCTGCTGCTGAACAGCGGGAGCTCGTCGTCGGTGACGGTGGAGGACGAGCGCCAGCGCTGCAGGCGGTGGTGGGAGCCGTGGAGATCCCCCGCACCCTCGCCATGCCCGCCCGCCAGCCACCCTCGCGCTCCCGACGGCGTCCTCGAGAGAGAGGAAGATGAGAAATAGAGAGTGGATAGAGTATGACAGTTGGGCCCGCATCAGGGGTATTTTGGTCCGGGAAAAAGTTAAAATTGAGGGAAAAAATCCAAAAGAGTGAAAATAGCATTTTGATGAACACCTCCCAGATTAGGATAACATTTTAGTCCCAGTTTAGGATAACATTTTAGTGAATCAGTTTGAAGGATAGCATTCCAGCGAAACCACTCTTTTGCGATAGCAAAATCACAATTTTCTCGTATCGGTGACAGAAGCAGAGACATTTGCACCTCGGTTCTTGCGATTCAGATACTGGACACGAGCATGATGCGGCGACTCCGAGGCGGAATCATTCCCGTTCTCTTCCTACACCTCCGATGCTGCGGTTTGGATTCTCTGATATGCTAGCGCTAGCGCCCGGATGTCCAGGCCGCACGCCTCAGCGTGCTCTCTGGGTCTGAAGGGCGGAGCGGAGCGCCTTCCGACTCCGAGGTTTCGGGCCTGCCCGGCAGGTGTTCGACGAAATGTCGCACTTCCGCCCGTGAGCGTTCGGCGACATTCCTCGCCTCTGGGAGGCTACACTGGAGTCTACTATGGGAGCCATGGTCGTCGGAGCACGGCGATGTGCCCATGCCTCGCGTCTGTGCCTGGTGCACACGCTCGGATTTCCAGGTATGTTTCTGGTTAGTGCTTTGCTGTTGCCTTGTGTAGCTGTGTTGCCCATCGTGATGCTGATATACTCCCTCCGTTTCAAAATGTTTAACACCGTTGACTTTTTAGCACATGTTTGATCGTTCGTTTTATTCAAAAAATATTGTGAAATATGTAAAACTATATGTGTACATGAAAGTATATTTAACAATGAATCAAATGATATTAAAAGAATAAATAATTACTTAAATTTTTTGAATAAGACGAATGGTCAAACACGTATTAAAAAGTCAACGGTGTCGAACATTTTGAAACGGAGGGAGTATGTTAGTGCTTTGCTATGTGTCTTTTGGTCAGCCATTGCAATTTAGTTTTGAAATTTCGGACACCACCGGCAAATCATTATCTCGACCGAAATTTTCCGATTTTCTCAATTTTTTGTAGATTTGGTCAAAGTTTATACAAATTCAGTCAAAAATTGTTAAAACTTCAAATAATTTCGGTCCAAAAAGTGCCAAAAATCACGAAATTTCGTCAATTTCGGTAGGCCGAAATCGAAAGTGCAATCACTGCTTTTGGTATTGTGCCGGCAAGCAGAAAGTCTTGTTAGTACACTTGCAGTTCTAGTAGAACATGGGCATGAGTGCTAGGCTGCTAGCTAGATTCATATATAAACCTTTTTTTAGAGACCAGCTAGATCCATAAACCTTTTTTAGAGACCGGCTAGATCCATAAACTTGAGAAAAATGTACCTTAAACTCCATCAGAATCTCAAAATCCAAGGTGGCATGCTAATGCAAATGTACCACCGGGGACCCAAAATCCAAAGTGACATGCTAATTGCTAAGGCAGACCCTGATGTGGCATTTTCATAATTTCCTTTTCCTTTTTCCTTCTCTTGTTTTCCACATTTTCAATTTTCTTTTTCTGATTTCTTGCTCCTTGCGCCTGGTCCAGGCTGCTATGCAGATGTGAAACTTGAGGCGGTACCAATTGCCTCCTTTTTCTTTTTTCTCATTTCCTTTTTTTTTATAACTTTGGGCTGGGTGCGAGGAGGAAGCAAGAGAAGGGCCTTGACTGGAGGAAGATCATAAAAAGACAAAGGAAGGAAAAAGGAAAAGTTGTAAAGAAAAGGAAAAGGAAACTAGTGACGAAGCAATTGTCCGCGTTGGCATGCCACTTCAGATTTTAGGTTTCTGGTGGTATATTTAACGAGTTTAGGGATCTAAAAATGCATTTGTTACAGATCAAGACAACTCACATGCACAATTTTAAGGTCCACTAGTATATTTTACTGTTAGAAATTGAAGTTATCAGCAAGTCATAAAGCCAGGCTCATTGATAAAGTAGCCATGTCAAAGCAGTATTATGTCATTGAGAAATTTAAGTTATCAGCAAGTCATACTAATTTTTTATAGAGAATGGAAGTGAAACTTCTGTCATTATATGAATCAGGTCATCTCAAGCATCCCTGGAAAATCTTATTTACAAATTGTTCTTTTTTCCAAGTGTTGACAAAAACTAGGGAATGTCATATTATTTCTTATTATGTTCAAATAAAAGGATAAATTAGACAAAAGAATAAGTAAAGTGTTAATTACAGGAGATGGAAAAGATGTTTCTCCCCCAATTCCTGACTTACTGTGAATTCAAAGACTAAAAACACAACCTTCAACATGTGGTAATTCCGTAGGATCGAATCACAAGAATTAAGCCAACCAGAGGGGGGGTGAATGGTTGGTATACCCAAAAACCGAAAACTTTTTGCGGAAATAAAAGTTACCCTCGAAATCGACGGAGATCGGTCTGACCGAAGTTGCCTTGCCGGTCTAACCGCTTGGAAGCCGTCGGTCTGACCGGTATAGATCAACCGGTCTGACCGCCGAAGCTACTCGCCGCGCCTATCACCGCCGCCGCCGCCGCCGGTCTGACCGCCGGTAGATCGCCGGTTAGACTGCCGAAACCCGGTAAACACAAATCGAAGAACTTTTAAAGTAGATGACGACTTTATTGATTCTCTCTGTGTTTACAAAGTGCACCAACAGCACTCCTTACAAAAATTTCGACTAAACTCGAAACCCTAACTCAAAACTCAACTCAATTGCTCTCAAAAGCAATACCGGGAAGCCTCGCACTCCCCCTCTATTTATACATGAGGTAGGCAGCCTAAAGCCACGAACCAAACTCATACTAGGAGTCCTAAACACCTTAGGAAACCCTTTAGTACAAGAAAGAAACTTTACATAACCAATCGTACCAAATTTGGACTCCTTCCAAATTCGACTCCGCATCCCATCGTACCAAATTTGGACTCCTTCCAAATTCGACTCCGCATCCCATACGCACACAATACCTCCATCGTATGCCATATGGAATCTCCATCAACTACGTGCATCAACTCTATGTAGGATCGTAAAGGGACTTTCCCACCCCAAAAGCTAGCCATTGAGGTGAGAGACTCCCCCACTTATATCTTAGGTCCTTTGCCCTTCCACAACCAATGTGGGACTATTCAACAATCTCCCCCTTCACACATTGGTGTCCCTCAGCCCTTCACTGCCCCTTCACCGTATCCGGGCCCCCACCGGCCCACGGTCCATCAGGTATACGGGCCCCGCCGGCACCCACGGTCCATCAGGCCTTCACACGTGTCCATCGGGCCAGAGATGTTAACCTAGCCTTTCTCTGATACCAATTGTAGGATCGTAAAGGGCCTTTCCCACCCCAAAAGCTAGCCATTGAGGTGAGGGGCTCCCCCACTTATATTTTAGGTCCTTTGCCCTTCCACAACCAATGTGGGACTATTCAACAAATTCTCTAGCTATAAGATAACCAGAATGCTAGCAATTGCCAGAAAGTTCAAAAATGGGCCTCATAGCTCAAATTACACCATGTCATTGCTGTTTAACATTTTGACTATATGTCTATCAAATATTTTGAACAATAGCAAGCTGTGCTGAAAGCAGCCAATATCTTTTCCCCATGAATATACAAAAACCAACAATAATTCATATAGGTTGATGTTTGTATAATACCTCCTGGAAAATACACACGAACAAACAACTTAAGCGTCCTAATTCATACACAATGGCTTCAGTTGAATTAAATTGAAAATCTAGTAGAGGAACTGTGGCATGGTTCAGTAGCTAGGAAGGAGGTGTGGGTGTATGTATGCCTTCAACACCCATCTTCAGGTCCTTTTCTACTCATACTTGATGGCTTTCTATTTCAAAATGAGAAAGATAGTAACTAGTTCCCTGTAGGTAGTCTCTTTCTCCTAGAACAAATTGATAAAGGATGACGCCATGTTGATGCTTCTCTATGAGTTGGTGGATGCCTGGCAGGTCGATGCAGATATTTGTTTTTGATCTTCCTTATGGAAAAATGATAGCGCTGTACAGGCTGCCATGTACACCAGCACAGGGATAACCAAAGCAATGATATTTCTAGATGTCTCCCACCTCATGGTGCTGCCTGCAGCGTAAGCACACAGGAGACCGAGCATATCCAGCAAAATGGCCGTATGCATTGGCCAGACCGGTATTTCTAGGTTGTTCAGCATCCTTGGAAGCAGCAAGGCGATGACGACAATAGAAGCCATGAAGGAAATCGAATTGCTATAGAAGAATGCATAGTACCGGCGCTTGTTGATGTCGTGGAGGATGTAGTGGCCAGCAAGGTGCCCATTGCCATTTTCCTGCCACAAGCCACCTGGTGGTTTTAGGCCAGCTTGATATGTAACACTTGCAGCCAGGACCCCTAGCAGCATCAAGTACTCCCGCATGTCCTTCTCGGTTGATCCAGATTTATCTTCTTCACTGTTGGCTTCTTGTAGAGAGGCTCCATTTCCTGTGCCATGGGCTCCTGGTTCAGAAGTGACAGAATTTATTCTGCTGCCTCCTTGTTCAGATGACCCCTCTCCTTTGTCAGTGTTTCTCAGTGCAGCATCTGTAATATCTGTGATCTGAGTTGCTTGTGAAGTGGATCCCATCCCTTTTATCAGAGGTGCTGGTTGTGAGGCTTCAGTGTCTGTGCTGCCACCTTCTTGCGCAGAGGAGTTCGTCATGTTGCCTCCTGTTTTAGAGGTCCTCTTGTTCCAGAACATGGCTACCTGCAAGGCTACCAAGGCAAACACTGCACCAACCAATGTCAATACATAGATGGAGGTGCGCAGACGCCGAGAGCTTCCAGCAGCGTAGGCACCCATGAGGCCGAACATTCCAGCCACCATGCACACATAAAGCGCATAGCACTTTATGCCTGGCCTGTATAGGTTTGGGTTCACAAGGAGCATAATGAGAGCTATAGATGCCATGAAGCTCGTCGCGTTGCAGTAGAAGAATGCCTCGTACTGCGGTGGATAGTTTTCGAGCAGGATTGGATAGCCTGCTCGGTGGTGGTGCCCAAGATTATCATCCTCTGACCAGAAGCCACCTGGGGGTGTCAGCCCAGCTTGATAAGTGAGCGTGGCAACCAAGATTGCAAGGAGCAGCAAAACTTCACGCTTCTTATCCTCCTCATCAGGATCATGATATTCATTGTCCATGTTGTCTAGTGTGAAGAAGATTATGTGAATCACCACATAGACGAGGACACCACCTGCCAGAGCAACAACATAGATGGATGTGCTCACGTCCCGGCAACTCCCTGCAGCATATGCAGTTATGAGGGCGAACAGATCCAGCAGCATAGCTGCCTCTAGAGTGTGGTTCTTCAGTACATGTTTACTTTGGACCATTATTATGGCCACTAAGGATGTCACAAAAGCCACCGAATTGCTGTAGAAGAACACCTTGTACCGTGCCGGGTTTGTCGTGAGGAGTATTGGGTCGCCGCCCTTATGCCCATCCCGGTCATCTGGCCAGAGACCACCCGGTGGATCTAGCCCTGCTTGGTATGTGATGCTTGCAGCAAGAGTAGCAAGTAACATGACAAGGGAGCGAGCCTTTTCCATTGCAATATTGCGTTTTGTGTTCCTAGTGATTGGAAACATGTACAGTGTGAACTTGCAGTTTCGGAAGGAGAAGGAAATGGGAGAGGATATTTACTTACATACCTGCTACCATCTTCATTACGGATCAGTGACTTTACAGATGATATACTTCGTTCAGTATGCCCATCATTCTTGATCCTCTTTTTTAAGAATTGTGTAACAGCCACCTGGAGGAAGATGTATGCAAGAATTGCAGCAATCAAACAGATGACGTATACAGTGTCATCGGTGTCCCTGCAGCTCCCAGCAGCATAGGCTCCAACGAGGCCGAAGAGAACCACAACAATAGACCCATACAGTTCACCAAACTGCAATGACATTTGCTCCGTGTTGACCCTCTTGTCCAGAAGCAACATGATGATGAGCAGGGATGCGACAAACGCTGTGGTGTTGCAGACGAAGAACGCTTTATAGCGTCTGGAGTTGATGTCCTGCAGAACTGGGTTGCTCACCCGGTGGCCGTCCTGGGTGCTGCCCCAGAAGCCACCTGGTGGGTTCAGCCCGGCCACGTAGGTGATGGTAACTGCAAATGTTGCTAGCAGCATCAAGACCTCATGCAGTTCTTCGCGCTTGTGTTCATCAGGATACCAGGTTTGCTTCTCAGTATCCTTTGGTTCACCCGAATCCTTGTTTTGCTTCCCATGATTTTTGTCTTTCTTCTTCAACTTGGACACTGCATAGGTAAACAAAGAAGGCACAATATAGGCAAATACCATCGACATGATCACCGAGGAGTAGATGGTAGTGAATTCATCTCTGCAGCTTCCGGCAGCATAGGCCCCCATTAGACCAAGCAAGTCAAACAGCATGACTACTCGCAGGGCAGCTGCGCAGCCTGAGTTCTCCTTGTCCAGGACGAGGAGGAGGAGGCAGACCACGAGTGACGCGGCGAACGCAGTGGCGTTGCAGTAGTAGAACATGATGTATTGTTCTTTGTGGTTGCCTGGTAGGATTGGGTCGCCCGCGAGATGGTCTTCTTGTGTGTCCTGCCAGAACCCCCCTGGCAGGTTGAGCCCCGCGGCATATGTTACCGTTGCGACCAGAGTGGCCAGCAGCAGAAGGTGATTCTTCAGCTGGTACTCTGAACTTGAAGATGGGTTGGATTTCTTCTCTTTGCTCGATCCGTTTCGGTTGTGGGTGTCTATTTTGTTGGTGGAAGACATATCTTGTTGTGGTTGAAGTAACAGGAAGATGGCCCCTGAGGAGATGATAGGCTGCCCTAGCTGAGCTACTCAGGTTATATATAGCTACTCATCTTCACATAGCAGCAATATGTCTTGATTGGCAAAATTCTTCCCTGCGAATCATGGCATATTTGCATGATCAAGTCACCTATCTAAAAACGTGTCTGTGCTGTAGCATATATATTTGCATGACTCCATCAAGTAACCCTATCTAAAGCTTATTCCATTGTCCTTTTGCAGCTTGGGCAACATAACAGACATGAAGCATCAATGATGTGTTTTGTTCTGCACACATGGTGTAGCATTCAAGCTTCCGAAATCCATATTAGCCCAACACTTCCAAAGAGTGGACTCATGTACGTATAATTTTCACTTACACTTCCATTGTTGCTTCTTATAAAAGGGTTAACCTGGAGTTTGGTATGATTGAATTACGTGGGTTTATATGTAGGACCTAACCTATCTAAATTCTCTATTTGACATGTATAACAACTAAAAGTAACAAGAATTGTTGACTGGTTCTGATGGCGGATTAATCCCATGTGGAGAGTTCAGATATGTTTTGGTAGTGTAAAGACTTGAAGTAACCAGTGTTCACATGTCAGGTTTTGATTGACCACAACACAATTTACTCATATTTCAGCAAATATTTCTCCTCTGTATACTTGAAGTTGTAATGCTTGTCCATTCTAGCTTTTTTTTTTTCAGAACCTAAAGGCACAGAAGTCATAGGATTAGATTCGCCTAACATCGCAGAGGCTTCACAATCTGATGGGAAATAGTCCATACTCAAAATATTGGAGGGTGCATGGTTGATGCTTGATAGAGACCAGTCATCATGCAAATCACAGGAGCAGATATGCATAAGCATGCTTAGCCTAAGTGCGAGCCTCCTCCCATACTTAGGCATACTTATGCCTGTCAATACTAAGAACAATTAATGCCTATGATAGTGTGAGATTCAGATACCAAACCCGGTCCGGTTTATAAGGCTAGTGAAATAAGCAGTTGCAGAAAACTCTGGCAAACATCAGTGTGATGTCCAAATATGTACAAGTTGAATACTGAAGTAGTATATAAATTTCTATTCACTATGTAAACGCAACTCCGTATAGCAGAGACCTCGCCATGTCCTCATCGTTCACACTAACAAAAGTGTACTAGAGGACAATAGAATCTATGGAAGTTGCATATTTAATTGTTGATGAAGTTCAGGACAACTTACTTCAGATTGGTCAGATGCCTATCTGCAATACGTCTAAGGATTAACAACGACAAGTTGTGCTACTATAGGTCAAATTAGGTTGTAAACTAAGTAATTTTATGATCCTTAAGGAAATATATACTGAGAAGTACCATAGTTTTTAGTGTTATATTGTGCTACTTCTTAATACTTTTATTACTGGGAAAAAATAGAGGCTACCTCTTGATACCTCAATACTAATCGAACACAAAGAGGTGACAAAATTTACAGTAAAAAATACGATTTCACTTGATACATTCTGAAGAACCATAAATAATCTCTCACAAGTCACAGTAGGCCGAATACAAGTCACCATCCACGGTGGGTCTTAGAGGGCATGCCTTTTTATCTTTTCCATCCCTTCCCCACCATGAAATATGTATTGAGCTGGAAGATCCTAAGGTTCTCCCTCCATCAACTCCTTTGAACTTTACCTTTCAAGGTTGGACCGCTTGATGCCATGATCAGCCAGCAGCAAATAATATTTCTGTCAATGTCTTCCAAAGCTGTATGATTGAGCTATGAGCCCCCAAAGTATTTTCTGCCATCAAAGGTGGTCCCAAATACGTGCATGGCTCGTTTTCGTTACGCGGAGAATTTTGCTTGGGCGGCACTACCAGACTCGCAGCTTTTGTGAGAGTTACGAATTTAGGCTGACCTTGATTTTTGTTGCTTGCAGGATCTTGCTTGGTTACATGTAATCAGCACCAGCCATGGCATCTCGAGAGGCTGACCTTCACTCAGATGAATTTAGAAGGTGACAAAATGACTTACTCAGGCATTTTTCATGTTACTGTTCGGTTCTATGGTGTTCCTGAAAGTCTCAGGCTCTGTTCTCTGGTGGACAAGCTTATTCAATACACAGCTACTTTCTCTGATTCTCTTAGATACAAGCAAGACAAGAACATTATTGGTCTGGTTGTTTTTGGTGTTACTAAGAAGCCTCCAGATACTATTCTCATTGCCAACTCAACATACAAGATCAACAAGATTTGCGCATTCCGTAGGCTGCTTTTCCACAATTGTGTTCTCTTGTCAAGAACAAGCTTCTTGAGTTAGCAAAATGAAATGGAAATCTATTTTAAATGGAAGACAGTCTCCTTCAAGGTTCCAACAGCAGCAAGTTGAGATTGTGACCATGATAAGTATCAGAGTGACTCTCTGCGTATTCCAATGATTTATTTCAAATGTGTGGCTGCTACCACATGTACATTGAGTTCATTAGCTGATCATCACAGTGCTCCTGCTTCCTTGGTTACTCTGGCTACACTGCCTAAACAGCTGCTAATGGGCCAGTAATGTGGTGAGCCCCTCTGCTGATTCCTTACAAAGTTCTGAACAGCAAACACCACATGCATGTATCCTCTAAGCAGATTTGCAGACGCCGCTTCTGACGATGCTATGCATCTGTGATGCAAGTCGCAGCCTGTACAGAGCAGCAGATCGGGAATACGCAAAAGAATTGCGCATCTTTGTATTGAGAGAAGTAAAGGTTGTCATTTACAGCTGAATGGGGAAAAAAAAACAGAAACAAGGAGGGGAGGAAGGGAGGGGACTGGTTGCAGCAGTTCTATTCTCGCGACAAATGGGGCGATCTAGGGATACAGAGCAGCAGATCATCGGTGTGTTGAGTGTTTTTACTTCTGCTGCCTTTTTCCACAGTAATTCAGATTGCTTCACCTATTTCAGAGAGTATGTTTTGAGGGAGGGAGACAAAACGGAAGAGCAGAGCACATTATTTACGTTTCAGTTTCTCCAGTTTGCAGCTCAAATGCAATATCCGCAGCGACGGATAAAAAGCCAAAAGAAAAAAAATGCTTTGCTAAGCTAGCTGTTCCGAGATATAGCCCAGAATAAAATTTTAATTCATTGCTAACCGTAAGCTGATTGTGATGAACTCATCCAACAAGCTTGTCCTCAGGATGCTCCATAGCACCATCATTTTCCTTTGTAGTAACCCACCCAACACGGGGAAACTATTTTAAACCCTCGAGGTAACGTCCCATTGTTTGTCTAAAAATCATCGAAGTAGTTTTTTTTTAAAAAAAAATTGCGGCAAACCAGCGGTGGTACTCAATCCCTGCCAGCTCAAGCCGGGTATTGCCCCTTTTTTACTACAGCTAGATATGATGTTGGAAAGATTATACAGATCACAACCCTCAAAAGCACTTTTCATGCCCTTAGGTGACTGGATTTATTCAGGATAATCCACTTACAACAGGAGAGACTTGGGAAAAAATGGAAAAAAAAAAACTGAGAGAAGAAGCCTAGAAAATAAGAAAGATATGGAGAAGAATTGCAGTACATAATGTTCTTGCCCGCTAGATATTTCAGTTGATTAGCTTGTGGAATTCAATCAGGCTGAAAACGCATCTCATCACTGCATCACATTCTGGGATGGATAATGCATATAGCTTCCCTGTGCCGCCGTTCGCCTGCCATTTCCTGGTTCTTGGGACTCGGCATCCAGCTCAGGTGTAATCTGCGGATTATTACCACCTGCCTTGTGACCCTGGCCGAAGGTCGACAACACCCCGTGCACTGCAATGTAGCCCAGCACGACGACGGCCATGGCGATGACATATCCAGATGTCTCCCATTCCCTGCTGGACCCTGCCCCATAGGCCACCAGGAGGCCAATCATGTCGAGAACAATCGTCGTGTTCATCGCCTTCAGCAACCACTCGTTGACATGCGGTGATGCCGACTCCGGCAGCAGCAGGACGATGACGACGACGGACGCCATGAAGGAAGTGGAGTTGCTGTAGAAGAAGGCGCGGTACCGCCGCCTCCGGTTGTCGCGGAGGACCGGGTTGCCGGCCGCGTGGCCTGCGCCGTCGTCGTCGCTCTGCCACACGCCGCCCGGCGGGTGCAGGCCGGCCTGGTAGGTGACGCTCGCTGCCAGGATCCCCAGTAGCATCAGGTACTTGCGCTTGGTGTGATTTTCGCTTCCACTGTTGTCACCTCTCTGGTTTTGGTCACCCTGGGAGTTCTGTCTGGTGGTAGTGTTGCCATGGTTCTGGCGCACCACGAATACCACAAGAAGTATGGCCACAAAAATAAGCACCAATGCGAAGACAAAGATGGATGTACGCATATGCTGTGAGCTCCCAGCGGCGTAGGCACCCATGAGACCAAACATGCCAGCCACCATGCAAACGGAGAGCGCATAGCTCTGAATGGCTGGCCTGTACAAATTTGGGTTCACGAGAAGGATGATGAGGGCGATAGATGACATAAAGCTGGTGGTGTTGCAGTAGAAAAAGGCTTTAAAACGGTAAGGGTTGTTGCTGAAGAGGACTGGCTCGCCTGCACGGTGACCATCACTATCATCTTGCCAGAAGCCACTTGGTGGGGTTAGCCCGGCTTGGTAGGTGATGGTTGCGGACAAGATGGCGAAAAGGAGCAACCTCTTGCGCCTCTTCTCCAGCAATACATCTTCGTCGTGTCCTCTCTGGTCTAGTGTGAAGAACACGACATGGATCACAACATACACCAGCACGGCACCGGCTATGGCCATAACATAAATGGAGGTACTCGCATCCCGACAGCTTCCCGCTGCATATGCACCCATGAGCCCAAACAAATCCAGAATCATGGCTGCCTCTAGCGCGTGGCGCTTGAGCAGAGACCTGCTCTGCACTAGGATGATGGCAAGTAAGGATGACACGAAGGCGGTCGAGTTGCAGTAGAAGAATGCCTTGTACCTTCTAGGGTTAGTTGTTAGGAGAATCGGGTTACCGGCCTTGTGGTCGCCATTGTCATCCTGCCAATACCCACCCGGCGGATCTAGCGCAGCTTGGAAAGTGACGGTCGCTGCTAGAGTGGCGAGCAGTAGAACGAGAGAGCGAGCCTTCTCCATAGCTCGGTTATGTTCCGCCTCCCTAATAATTGCAGCAAGAGTAGAAAAAAATTGATTATTCTCTTTCAACAAATAGTTAGAGAGTGAAACAAATGTGATTATTCTCAAAAACTATCAAACTCTCTTTGCCTCTCTAATCAAATTTGCTGCACAATGAGAGAGGGGACATGTAAATTCTTTTGTTTGTAAAAGAAAAAAAACAAATAGGAGTGCTTTACAAACCTGTCAATAGTGGCCTGATCTACTTCTTGGTCTTGCTTGGGACAATATCGTCGTTTTGATATCGAAGAGTAGATCCGTGCGAGCTTCGTGTTGCCAAGCGCCTGCTTGACGCACGGCACGACGGTGAGGTGGAAGGCGATGTACACGAGCACGGCGCCGACGAGCGCCAGCACGTACACGGTGGTGTGCTCCGCCCTCGAGCTGCCGGCGGCGTACGCTCCGACGAGCCCGACCAGCGCGACGACGATGCACCCGTACAGCTCCCAGGACCGCACCGTGCCGTCGCGCAGCTTCCGGTCGAGGAGCAGCACGATGATGAGCAGCGACGCGACGAACGCGGTGGTGTTGCAGAGGAGGAACGCCGTCAGCCGCGCCGGGTGCCGCTCCCCCATGACCGCCTCGCCGGCGCGGTGGCCGGCGACGCCGTCCGCCCAGAACCCTCCCGGCGTGCTCAGCCCGGCCACGTACGTGAGGCTCGTGGCGAACGTGGCGAGCAGCAGGAGCACCTTGCGCGACCGCTCCTTGGTGACGACGTGCTCGTCCTCGTCGTCGCCGCCGGCGAGCGAGGCGAGCACCATCTGCACGACGAGGTAGACGAACACGGCGGCGACGAGCACGGCGGTGTACCTGGTGGTGGTGGCGTCCCGGCACGTCCCCGCGGTGTAGGCGCCCATGAGGCTGAGCAGGTCGAGCACCATGACCACCCGGAGCGGCATGACGGTGACCCACATGTTCCGCTTCTCGTGGAGCACGGCGAAGAGGAGGATGAGGACGATGACGAGCAGAGACGACGCGAACGCGGTGGCGTTGCAGTAGAAGAAGACGAGGTACCGGCCGTAGTAGAGGTCCCGGATGATGGGGTCGCCGGCGGTGTGCCCGCCGGCGGTGACCTGCCACGCGCCGCCCGGCGGGCTGAACCCGGCGCCGTACGCCACCGTGGCCACCAGCGAGGCCAGCAGCAGGAGGTACTTCCGCAGCGTGTACTCCCAATATGGCTGCTGCTCGGTAGCGTCGTCCCCTTGCGCCATTGCCAAAACCTCAGTGAGCTCCAGATGCAAGCTAAGATCGATCGGTATATATGGTTAAATTTCTAGTTTCAGCTTCAGCTTGGAGTTGAGAATAGTTTATCACTGCCTCGCCAGACTTGACTCAGTCACACTCAGTTCAGTCGTCGTCGAGCAGCTTAATGTAAGAGCAAGATACTCTTGATCTAGCTGGTTGGCATACATCTTGGTCGATCTTCCATTCAAAATCATAAAAAAATTTGATGTTGTTAATCCAGCCACAAGGTCAAATACTTTCTCAAATATTTGTGCTACAAGGGCATGCACGTGACGAAGTGAGCTGATTAGGTTCCTTGTGGTGAATATGCATAACTATTGTTTCAGTGTGGTGGATAAAACAAGTGCATGCACATTCATCACTTGGATCCGATTTTCATATCATATGAGGTAGTAATATGCAGGGGAGCACGTATTTCTCCCACGTTTCTCGATAAAAGGAATATATATGTAGAACTGTTTGAGTGTTTTGAGCCCTTGAGGGCATACGGCCTTATTTCTTACCTATAGAATCTAAATAGTACTCCCTCCGTATTTTAATGTATGACGCCGTTGACTTTTTAACCAATGTTTGACCACTCATCTTATTCAAAATTTTTATGCAAATATAAAAATACTTATGTCATGCTTAAAGAACATTTGATGATAAATCAAGTCACAATAAAATAAATTATAATTACATAAATTTTTTGAATAAGATGAAAGGTCAAACGTTTGTTAAAAAGTTAACGGCGTTATACATTAAAATACGAAGGGAGTACTAGTTAAGAAAACGCTTAAGCACTGCAGATAATTTTATTTTATTTTATTAGCACAAATTCTAGATCGGTCAAATTTGACTTATATGTGGAGAAATAAAGAGAAATAAATACAATAAATCTGATTGCAGTCACACACACATATATAGGAAAAAGCAGATATGAACCGAGGTTCACCTGCGCCCTGAATCACAACCATGCATTCAATCGTTCCAAGACGCATGCTTCCTAGCTGGACCTTAGGCCATGTGTAGTTCCCACGTAAAAACTTTTCAGCATGTCACATCAAATATTTGACACATGTATGGATTATTAAATATAGAAAAAACTAATTACACAGATTGCGTGTAATTTGAGAGACGAATCTTTTAAGTCTAATTACGCCATGATTTGACAATATGGTGTTATAATAAAGATTTGCTAATGACAGATTAATTAGGCTTAATAAATTCATCTCGCAGTTTACAGCCGGAATCTATAATTTATTTTGTTATTAGACTACGTTTAATACTTCAAATGTGTGTCTGTATATCCGATGTGACACGCTAAAACTTTTCACCCCTTAAACTAAACATGGCCTTAATTTCACTAATGAAGAGTTTCTACTGGAGAAAATGTCAGGGAGGTACATAATGCATGTGTTGCTGTGACAGTGACATGTACTTCCTGCACAAAGAGAGAGAAAGAGCAGGTGAGAGGAAGTTGACCACACATCATGTACTCCATTGAAATTGTTTCTTTTCTCTTAGTATCCATTGAAATTCAGTATACATGACCATTTTGGAAATAACACATGCGACTTTTTTTAATTTCACATGTGATTTAGTATCATTTTGCGACATCATTTTTTTAGACATCACTTTTCAAAATGATATTTTCGTTGTGTTTCATTTTCGGTGTCAACAAATTGTAGTGTATATTATATTTTTGTTGATTAACGAAATTATATTTTGCAATGTAGCATATATATGTAAAAATAAAATTCATGTATTTTTTTATTTTAGTATGTGCCAAATGATATATCATTTTCACAATGTCATTTTTGGACATCGATTATATTGTATTTGCGTGGTGATTGGACATTCATCTTGATATATCATGTCCGAATAAAACCAGATATAGATTAATTTTCAAACATACAAACACAAGGTGGTTAGATTAATTTAAAAAATTAACATATTTGATGGCTAATCACATGGAGTAATGTGATTGTAGCCAAGAGATCTATAAAAAACGACATGTTCACCCCTCTCTCTATCATTCTTTCTCATGGTCACATTGTGAAAAGACATGAATACTGTTGCAAGCTAGTACATGGGTGGGTGAGAAATGCATGCCTACAGCATCATTGTGTACCTCCGCCAAATTTTCCCTATAAGAGTTTGGGTTGGGTAGGTACAAGTTGCACGGGCTTTGGTGAAAATGATGCATTAGCTACAACTGAAAATATACACACATGGGGGATTGAGGAGAAGATACACCTAGGTTCGTATTATCCAATTCCTATACACGCACACAAGAAAAATATACCCATGCGTTACAACAGGTGAAGGCTATTTTAATTTTAGAACCCACATGAGTCAATGACATGTGGGTCAGGGTGGCATATCCCAAATTTTGCAAAATTTGTGTGGCATGTTCAAATTTTCCCTTAACTTGGATTATTGTTGTACGATTTAGCTAAGGCGCAATTCACTGCAGGAATTCGTTTGGATATTTTATTTTTAAGAAATCATGAGCAACAATTAGTAGTCCGATCGTCTCAAGTTAGCATGCGAGTTTTTTTTAAAAAAAGATTTCTATGCGACTCCTTTTGTATTTCTAAAAGCGAACGAACTTAAAAATCGACTCAAACACGCATTTGTATTTTCAAAAGCGAGTGAACTTAAAAACCGACTCAAACACGGATGACGTACGAAAGTACCGGCAAAAACATGTTCAATTTTTATAACGGTGGAGATAGAGATATGTTTCTGTATAGTTATAGAAGCTGAGAATCCATTTCCTGCATATCATATTGACTGCAATGCTAGACTTTGCACTGCACGTTGACCGGTGGATCAAGTGGAAGTTATACACAGTAAGATATATCGAAGGTTCAGTCCAAAGGTTAGACGACTTTGCTTAATTATGATTAGTCTTCAAACTCATATGAACTAGACCTATGAACGGGGCAGCGAAGTCCCTGTACGTTTTCAATAGAAAATTTCTCTCCCCTTATAGTGGAATCTATTGGAAGAACTGTCACAGGCTAATTAGACTTAGCTGCTTGCAGTATGTTACACAAATCCAAACGAGACAAAAGGAGCGAGGAGAGAGATGAGCAATAGGAAGATGCTTTTCTTTTTTGAACGAACCGTTACAGGATGTGCCAATTAATTCCTTGGAGGAGTAAAAGTTACATGTAAGAAAAGAAAGAACTGTACAAATTAAAAGAGGAAAGGCCTAAGGAATTAAAAGCGCTAGGTGTTTTGTTCTCACTGAGGCTCAAATTTTGGCTTCCTCCTTAATATTTGCTCCCAGGGACATGACGGATAACTCCTTATGTTGAAAGACTCTCTGGATTTTTTCCTTCCAGACCTCAAAGCGGTGCTGCTCTTGGCATGGTGAGAGTGGAAATGTAGAGGAAGTGGAGGAGACCGCGTCCCCTTGGATTGAATGTGAGGGCGGGAAAGGCAAGGCGCAGATTCAGCAGCAAGGTGGTTGCTGGCCAAAGGTCGAAGGAGGAGTTGATAGGCAACGAGAGGACGAGAGGGGGTGAAACTGGGTCTCGTGTCAAGCCCAGAAATTTAACCCAAATTTCCAGACTATTTTGTGTATTAAATCCCTGTCCAGGACCAGCCAGGGTATACAAAACGACAAATTAATATACAGATCTAAACATAAATAAAGCGTAAATACTTACAGAAGAGGCACTTAGTCATCACACCGAAACAAAAGCAACAGCAGCGGAAAAAGGCGATCCTAGCGGCGCTTCAGCTCCACTCCACAGGCAAAACTCAACTGGGGTCTGAACCTTGGTCTTCTAACTTCGTCTTCAGCTCAGAAGTACTACACTTCTTAAAAGGGGAAACAATAGCAAGGCTGAGTACAACCACCGTACTCAGCAAGCCACACCAATGATGCATACATGCAAGGGGATACAAGAACGGTTTGTGGCTATTTGCATAAAGGCGGTTGTAAAGCATTTTATTGGGCAAAACAGTAAAACGATTGATTAATTATGGTAATATTAAATCTCCACTGACCAACGCTACACCACGTTGAATAGGCCAAACCATTCCCACCTGAACTACAGTGCATTGAGTTGATTTATTAAGGGTGAGATTAATTATGGTGATTTTGGTTGATCACCCATAACCGCGGGCACGACTATTCGAATAGTTTTACTCTGGCCAGAGGTGCACAACTGTACCCAGCCACAAGACACAACCCACCGGCATGTCATCGTGACATGCATGACACGTCACCATGTTGAGTGATTATGATAAGACCCTTCATATAACCCCCTCTGACCAAGCACACCACACCTCAGATTTCACCCCTACTCCTCAACAGGCAGCGGGCTGTCCCCTCTCGTGCCTAGCCGAATTAGTAAGTCGCATAGACCGTCGCAGGGCCCATCCGAACTCCATCACGCTCAGCCTTGCCTGGATGCGTCAGCTAAAAAGCTATACTACAAATCAAGCAGTTACCCATTCCCACTTGTGGCAAGCGCAGTAAGTCTTCCAGTGCATCCCACGAACCGGTCCTTAATTGCCATTGGCTTTTTAGAAAAACCATGCACCCACAGCCCGCCATTCAGTCGCATTTTAGTTGGATAATTACGACCGATGAAACATGGCCGGATGACTCGAGCACGCATGTCGTTATGATACTAAAAAGGTCTAATACTGTAATTATCTCATCAACTGAGCTAGTGGTAATTAAGCATGGCTAAGCATATAGTTCTAGCTGGATCAACATAAATGACACAAGCTAGTAGAATTGTCACCCAAGGTTAACAAAAGACATGCATCAAGTAATATAGCACAATCAAGCAGATAGGTAAACCCTGATCCCATGTAATTAGCAAAACATGTATATTTATTTGCAAACGATAAAACACTCATAAATTGGGCTCAAAATGCTCAAGGGGAATGTGTGACTTGCCTTGCTTCTTCACTTGCATCTGCTAAACTCTTTTCCTCACGACCGCGAACTTCCGAAACGACAGATTCTACACGCTGGCACACAAAACGAGGAAAAACCCTAAAAAAACCAAGTAAACAGTACATGAAAAGTAAACAAACATGTATATCTCAAATTTAGATGAATATTGCAAGTTGAATGGCTCAATTTGGAGTTCGTATGAA